CTTTTTTATTTTTCGGCTTGACCGACAGTGATAGGAAAGCACGGGCCCTCATCCCCCCCCCCCCCCCCCGGATCCGCGCCTGCCCAAGTGGGTCTCAAGGCAATATAGTAATAACCGAGCCCAATTGCTTAACTTCGGTGAGCTGATGGGAACCGGTGTTTTATCGTGGAATGGCGGTAGATCAGTGATCTTGGACCAACAGAAGTATAATTAACGATGAAAATGTTAATAACATTTTCATCGTTAATTATACTTTTGATGGTCCAGAATCACTGATATTTTGATTAGACAGATTTTCTTCAGGTAATGTATTCCAATAATAATGTGTCCAAACAACTGTACTAACTTTAATTTGATGGTTCTATGATTGATAGCTCTAGTCATTACTATGACGAACTTGGTTGGGCCGCTGCTTGGCTGTACCGCGCCACATCTGAAGTAGAATACCTGAACGATGCCGTTGATTACTACGATAGCAACAATTTAGGTGACAAGCCCTGGGCATTTGATTGGGATGATAAAAAAGCTGGTCTCCAGGTTAGTAAACCAGGGCAGTCATATATAAATCTAAATTTTTAGTTGAGTTGTTTTTCTCCCTTTGTGCGCCTGAGCATGAATTCAGTGTGAACTTGTTCTGTTTTTTTCGTTTCGTTTTGGTAAGGTTTTTAGTTTGTTACATCGTCTAACTCAATAGAAATAATTTGTCATTGAATGATCCGTAAAATATCATGAGAGTGATGTAGCACCGTCAAGGGGTACATGGGTCATGAGGTGATGTAACACATAGAAGAGGTCCGTGGGACACTGACGGTGACTCGAATTTAACACTATAATACCATAGGAGCTTTACTTTATTTTATCTTGACTTGGGAATGTCCATGGTATTGGGGATGTTATGTGAACACCATACAATGAGGCCATGGAGATGATTCAGCACCCAACAAGAATGTAAGGGGGTTTCTAGGTAAGTGATTCGGCAACATCCACGTTTTTTTCTCTTTTTTTTTCAAATTCTTTGTTTCACCTCTCTAGCTAGTGTTGTTTGGTTCAGGTAAGGAGGCACCCATTCTCAAAATAACCGATACTAACAAATAGGGTACAACACAGGTACCCAGTTTGCGGTGACGGTGTAACCCCACACTCCGGTTTGGGTAGTAACTTGGTGATTTATTCCCTTGCATATTATATGTCCCCTTCCGGGGGTGGGGCCTCCCCGACGAGGGCTTAAGTGGGCGTGGTCGGGCGTTGCTCAAAATCTTGTTGTGACCCATGGGGCGAAGCCCCCAGAAACTGTGACAAATAGGTTTCAGTCTTATTTACTCGATGAGTTTACTAATATGTGAAAATACATACATTTTTTTTTTCTCCCCGACGAATTGTGTTTTTCTCCCCGACGGGGAAACTCAGTTCTCCCCGATGGTGGGTGGTCTCGTCCCTTTGGTACCACCATTGATCAACTCAGAACGCTACAAACTGCCCATAGTGTCGCAGATGGTTAATATAGGGAGAGTATTTATAGAGTGGAATGCAACTAACAAAATGTTAATTCTAAAAGTAACAGTACCTGAGGCATATATACACTGCTTTTCTTATGATCGACATTCGTTGTTGTTTATTTGTTATTCATTAAATGTATTCTTTTTATTAAATATTCTTTCTAGTTATTGATGTACAAGTTGACACAGGAAACAAAGTACAAGAACGCAGTTACCACGTTCTTTGACGATTGGTTGCCTCATAGCACTCTTAATAGTGCTGTGAATTATACTCCCCTTGGATTAGCTTGGCGAATACAGTGGGGCCCCAATAGATACGCAGGTAAGAATCAAAGTTTGAAAGCGTATATTGGAGTCGTTTAGTAGTGCTATTATCGAATGAGGTTATGCTATTCATTCATTTCAGCGAAAAAGATGTTTATATATTAAAGTGGGACTCTCACTTTATAGTTAGACAGAATATTCATGTGATTATCATTCGCTATATTTATGGTGATGATGGTGATTAATTTTCTTTACTATCATAGTTGTGAGAAGTGTTGCGCAAGCTTTTAATTCGGCACAAAAACTTAGCCTAATTCGTTGTCTTCTCCTTGGTCGTTTTCCCTTAATTTTCACATTTTCTTATTATACTTCATAATCATTGTAGTGGAGCTGTAATGATGATGGAAGTTGAAGAAATATAATAAAGAAAAAACATAGCAGATAGAGTTTTGTTGATTCTTTTTTTGTTTGCAGCGAATGTCGCATTTTTAGCTTTGGTTGCAGCTGACCTTGGTATCAACCCGACATCATATAGAGACTTTGCTCGAGATCAGATCAACTACATACTCGGCAGCAGTGGACGTAGTTACGTAGTTGGTTTTGGAGTCAATCCACCAAATAGACCCCATCATAGATCAAGGTATAGTTTTTGGACAATTGCAATTGTATTATAAGCGGTGTTTATACTAAGATCTGGTATAAGCGAATTCTTTTCCATAATACCCATACATAGGACATAAATTCAGTGCTAAATTTTCTTAGATGAGTGAACACATCTTAGCAAAATCCCTAATGCGTCTTGGTACAGGTTTCATTCTATCAATTATTTATGAATACTTACATTCAACCGAGTTCTTAATAATTATTTTATATTCTCAAACTAGCTCCTGTCACGATCTACCTGCAACGTGTTCATGGACTGATTACCACGCTGACGCTCCAAATCCACAGATATTACATGGTGCTGTGGTTGGTGGACCGGACATAAACGACTATTTTGAGAACGATCGTGAAGATTTCATTAAGAACGAAGTAGCGTGCGATTATAATGCCGGTTTTCAATCATCAGTTGCCGGTATGTTAATTTGCATAATTTGAAAATCGTTAGTGCTTTGTCCACACTATCAATTTTCTGTGACAAATATCTGTCGGGCGGATCCAGCCGCAATATGCGAGCGACACGAGCAGCCTTAGGCTGGGGGCCAGGGGGCCGCGTAGGGCCCCCAGCGGGGTCCCCACCAGGCCTCTGGTGGGGGTCGATTTTGACTATCTAGCATGGTAGTTTTCAGTAAGAAATATATAAATAAAAATAATAGGTGTATGTCTTTTAAAAGAAATTTTAATATACAGGGTACCTGTAATATGCAACTATGAAATGTGTCATTAAATTAATAATAATTCATCTACTCACAGCTGTGGGTTTTAGTGCCTTTTTCACGAACATCTCAAATATAATCTTTGACAACATGTAAAGGCCCATTAATGTACATCATTTCAAAAGAGAAATTTCACTTCTAGAAAAATCTGTTCATTTTATTCCAACAGGTATTATTACATTGATGACGACCAACAAGTAAACGGCGGAGGAGCGATCATCCAACTAAAATACAGGCTTGATAGGAAGAATAAGTTTTGTAACATTACGTAAAATGCTACGAGAATTTCACTGCAGAAATTATATACAGCACTATTTTGTAGAGCTGTAAGAGCATGCTCTTAATTATTTGAAGGAAATGTATTGTTCTTGGGATTCGAACAAACACCATTTGATGTCTATTAATTATATTGTATTCTTAGATCTTTCTGTTTAAATATTTTTTTAAATTGTATTGCGTACCGTATAGTTTTAAACCATAGGCCTATGAAATTAAAGTTATAGGTGTGGCGGGGTTTTCCATATTAAATTTAGTAATGTATGTACCCTACGTTTGATTCAGATGTTATTTTGCGTTTCTAAGTTTACCAAAACTAGTTTTAACGTCATGTACGCTTTTCAATTAATGAATGATTGAAGAATGAATGAAAGAACGAATGAATGAATGAATGAAAAATGAAAGAACGAATGAATGAAGGAAAGAAAGAATGAATGAATGATAGAATGAAAGAATATGAATAACTTAATGAATTATTATTTATTTACTTGTTTTATCTAAAGAAGATTATATATATATACATAGGCCGATATATATATATATATATATATATATATATATATACATTTAATGAATGAATTTCATATGAAAATGAATTATTATGAATGGATATGAATAAGTGTGTAAACATGATTACATGAATATGAAGAATTAATGAATGAATTGAATGAATGAATCAATCAACCATCCTTTTATCATCCAACTAGCTCCACACAAACAATCATCCAATGAATGAATGAATAAATCAATCAATCGACCAATCACTTTACCAACTGACCAAAAACTATAGGCTATAATGCCCTTCAGGTTTTTGCTAAAATCTGGCAATAATTGACTACATCCATAACCTTGTTTTAGTATGCCCATGCTCAATTCAGCACTTAAATCAAACAGAATAAGCTGGGGTAAAATTTGACTAATTTCACAGAAACCGTTTTGAACTATACCGTACTCTTTGGGTTTTTTTTTTTTTTTTTTCCAAAAGTGGGCTATTTTCACATAGTCGTTTTTTTTTTCCTCCGGATGATTCTAACCAACCATGATGGGGCTGAGGTGGTATAGACACTCCATCTGTGAAAGTCCCCCCTTGCCCCGTCCCTCCTTGCCAGATCAAATTCTTGGCTCAACCGCCGATATCATACCATTTATTTCGTCGTTTAAAAACATTTAGAATACGATGGCAAACATGATTAAAAAAAGAGCACATCTAAAATCCCCCAACGGAATTGGTGAACTGCCCAAAAAAGCCTCATTAAAAACATTTAGAATAGCCTATGACAAACCATTAAATAACGAGCACATCTAAATTCCACAACGGAATTGGTGACTGCCTAAAAAGGGCCCCAGTCTCAGCCTTATGCCTGTTATTTAACATTAATGGGTTTTATGTGGTATTTTCGAAAGTGGTGAGCATTTTTTTTTCATTCACAGTCGCCTCAGAACAACTGGAACAGATTTGGGTAAAAATTTCCTAATTTCGACAAAAATTGTGAACGTATTATACCCTTTACGACTCCGGTTGATTCTAACATAGGCTATGTTTGAAATAACGTTGTTTAACTTCATTTTCACAAAGTTTTGTTTTATATCAGAATTTGATTATTAGGCCTATACCGGTACCTAATAGACTAGCTACTATTTATCTTTATTGAAAATTAAAACTGGGTTTAAGGTATATTTTCAAACATGGTGGGCATTTTTGTGATTCATTGCAACAGTTGTTTTTCGGTGGATTCTAAGGAAGGCATATTATGTTAAAACTAACTAACCTTTAAATGCTGTAAATTAATAGCGTAATTCGACTATTATACTTAATAGACTATAATAGGTTCTAATTATCCTCATTGAAAATGAACACTGGGTTTTAAGTTTATTTTCAATTATGGATGGGCATTTCGTGATTCATGTTTGTCACAGAACAAAAATCAACCGAAATATCAATAAAATAGGCTCGCTCCCAGCGGGAGCGTGTCTGCCCTAGTCTGCCTTATGTTTGCTAATAAAGTATCCACATAATGGGATTCGGTTATCAGGAAATGTGTGGTGGTGTATTTTTTTATGACTTTTGTACAGTAATAAGGTACTTAAGATGACACATGCCCCACCATGCACCTCCACCGGATTTACCCTTTCCGCCATCTTTAATTGCCAGATCATAACATAGTGTCTTTGCCCCTGAGGGGGGCATAGATGCAAAAAACTGTGAGTGGGTGGTGGGTATTTGTAAAACCATGGAGGAATTAGTTAAAACTAATTCCTCCATGGTATAATTCACGCCGCCCCTTAAATCCGCCTATGACAGTTGCTACAAACCATGCTAAATGTGAACAGAAGTGCTACATATGAAAATAATACTAAAACATCAATGTATACAAAATATACATCAAAATGAAGGTTTCTAAATTGCTGCAAAAGATCGAATCCGCAACCAACGAATACAAAGCAGAACTAATGAGAGAAGGTATTGACCCTGTCTGCCGCACTGTTCAGTTGCAATTCAGATGAGACCATAGATCATAATGTGTGTCTTGAATATAAGGAAAGGAATATATTGAACGGCTATAGGTCGGTATATATCCAGTAAAATGTATATGCAAACTTAGCGGTGGTACCAGCAGGGGCTGGGGTCGAACGGTCCCCCACCACCGTCGTCCGACGCCACGACGGGTTCATCGGACCTTATATTAATCTGCCTATCCAAATCGTTATTTGCATTGCCATTTTTGAATATTTTGTGTTCTAAAAGCACAAGTTTGGGCCATAAGCCATAAAAACTCTCCCCATGAACCCTGGATCAGAGACCCTGATCTCGGAAAACACAATGATTTCGAAATTAAAATCAAAATGTGGCACTGCGTGAGGAATTGTCCGAAAAGGACGGACAAGAATATTGACAATATACCTGGAAAATAACCTCAAATAATTACAGATTACCCTAATGGATGCTGCACGTACTCAGAAAACATTATCTATAAAAACATAAGAGAACTGAATAATTAAGTCCTATTACAAACACTTCCAGCTATAGGGACAGTCCCACAATATTTTTCTAATGGGTCACGAACAATGGGTCCACTTATTTAAAAATGGGTATAAATTATGCAGTTTTATGCATAAAATGAATTCATTTTTTGCAAAAGGGGTCCAGACGTCTCATGTCTAGCCTAAAATTGGTAAAATTTTAAGAAAATGGGTCAACTTAAATAAAAATGAGTCAACATTAGGCCCCTAGTTGAATTTACGTGTAAAGTGGGTCCAATCCCTTGTCCTGCACTGTTTGAAAATCTTGGCTAAGGCATTGATTATAACCCTCTTGGACTCCAGAAGAGAGCCGTTGTTAGGGGTTACAAACTAACATAGCTAAGTAAATCTATAATAATAATAATAATAATAATAATAATAATAATAATAATAATAATAATAATGATAAAAA